AGCCCGTTTTTGAGCTGTATTCGTCTCCTGCAATAGCAATAGCACTGACACTGAAAACAATTATCAGACACGGTGCAAACAACCTTTATGTGAGACCTGCTTATTGCGGACAATTTCTACCTACTTTAGCCCGTTTAAAGAAGCTACGTCACGGTTTGCATATCTGGAAAAGTACATTTAGCCTAAATTTTTTAAGTTTGTGGTTTGTGATTAATCCGCGTTAACCATTTCTATCCCAAGCTATCCTTGTTTCTTTAAGGCTTATTAGTTATCTCTTTGGTGTTTTTCTATCAGTAGCAAACTACTATTTTCAGGTTTCCTTCCATTTAAGGGTAAACTTGTACGTGGCCAAAATAACTCCAAATAACGTAAATGAGCTTCTTTAGACAGAGATCGGTTGCAGTGTACCGAGTGATTTTTTTTTTTTTTTTGGCGGGGTGGGGGCAAACTTATTTGTGTCCTCCTCAACCAGTCTCTGCTTGAATGTAATGCCTCTGGAAAAAACCGTGCAACAGATCAAACGTTGTAAAACTTATTCCAACAGCAATGGGTCCCTTGACCCAATTCATGCTGAGTCCCTTGTACAAGCCCTTTCTCAATCCTTCCGTCGCATAAACATACTTCGCTGTAGTCCACATTTTGCGATACTCTGGCCTTGAAGGCCCAGAAATCCCATCAGTCTGCATTCGCCGACGAATTATATCCAGTGGGTATGTGGCAGATTGGCCAAAGAGCCCAGCACATGCACCAAATAGAAGTCTGTGGAGTGGGTTGAGTTTTTTCTGATGGAAGTAGTCAGAGTACAGTTTTTTAAGTGTTTCATACGTAAAGAAGCTTATGCCAGCATAAGGCATTATTCCCATCAAGGTGGGGAGCAACCCTCTGTAATAGGCCGAAAACCCTTCTTCTCTGTAAATTTTGGTGAAAATATTCAGCCCAGTGTACCTAATGAAATAATGAGAAAAAAAAAACAGTTACAAAACCATTAACACGTAGGGATCTCAGAGATAAGTTTCACCAAATACATGTACATCATAATCCTTGCAGTTCAGCCTATAGCAGCTTCCTGTCTTTTTTAAACAAATCTAGAGACTAGAGCCATTCAACTCACCTTGACTAGGGAAGGTAGAGGGGAACGGGGAAGGAGGGAGGGGGCGAGGGTCCTAAGGCTCCCTTCAAGCTCCCAACCTTTGGTACTTCTTTATTGCAATAATAGAAAATTCTTTGCACTTCTCAGAGTTTCTAGCACCTTGGAATTTGCTTTACCCACCTTCTCTTCAGTTCATCCGCCTTCTGTAGAATTCCCACCTCCTTAATTCCTAGTTTTCCACTCGCCTGTTCCCTGGACTATCCAGTTAAGAGTTTTCCCTATTTGGTTTAACTGGAAGAACTGGACTTCAAAAAAACCTTATCATTGATTGATTGTAACAGTTTCCTAGGTGCTGATGGTGTTTTTATATACAGGCTTGAAGTGGGCACTGGGATTGCCTTGTTCCTACTGTAAAACAGATGGTTTTTAATCGTTATAAATTATTTTAAGTTTCTTGATAAAAATAATTACCTGTTTTTCTGTGTGATAGCCAATCTAGCCCGAATCATATCTAAAGGGTAGGTGAATGACGCAGCTGTAATGCCTGCTAAAGATCCAGCTACAAATCGACGCACTGGAGGCAATGCTCTGAAATATAACACAAATGGACAGATTATTTAGATAAAGAACAGTTGTTAATGTACTTGCAGAAGAAAATTAAGAAAACATGTTGCATCAGTTAGAGGAAAAGCACTGTGTCATTGTAGGAGATGGAAAGAGGAGGAATCAAACCCCTCAAATTTGAAATGTTCTATGCGACCTTATTTTTGGATAAATATTGTCAATAATGTATATGCTGATTTCAATTTTCTGTCATTTAATTGTCCTTTGTGATGTTTGAGTACAGAGTACTTGTTCAAACAAAATTACTCGTGGTGTTCACATAATTTAAAAGTAATTATAACTCCACACTCTTCTGGTGAAGACTGTGTCGTTAGCTCAGGGTTCATGATTTCGTATTTCACATACAGTGTGTAGATCTAAATTGTAAATACCTAATAATTCATTGACTGCATTTACACCAACTTCAACTCTGAAATACATGTACTATCTTAGATGGCAATAAGTATGCTATCAATTATTTAATTTTTTTTCCAAATATCTTTCATAAGGATTTGGCTCACTACAACTGTAGGTACTGTTGAATATAGTTTGGCTGTACTTCAACTACACATAGTCAGTGTAAATGTTTCTTGTCTGAGCTGTTACAGTGTACATAATTAGTAACAATTATAATAGCCTGTTGAAAGCTGTCAGATTTTAGTCAACAGGCAAATTATACACATGTACAGGAAGGTGACCTGGAAATCATAAAATCAAAGGAGAGAGGACAATTTGATTGTTTTTTTTGTTTTGTTTTGTTTTGTTTTTCTTGCTTACAAGTTTATTTTCCCTTTAGAGCCACAAACTATCTTGCTACAGGAGTATACATAATAGCACTACATGCTGTCCAATTTGGAAATAATTGGATGAAAAATATTCCAAAGACAGCCAAAATTGGACAAGGCTGTAGGCCAAGTCCAATTTGGCTGTAAGCGGAATTTATTTTTTTAATTCAATTATTTCCAAACTGGACAAGGATGTGATTGTATTACTTGTTGATTCTGTAGTGCATGGAATTGTCCAAATTACTTGGAATGAGATGCTGGGCTTGCAAAACAATTAGGGCCTGTAATATATGCTATCAGACTGAAAAATTCCCATTCATGCTAATAGTAAGAGCAGATTTACCCTTTCTTGTCATCCTTTCTAAGCAACTGTTTAAACTGTTCATGTGCTGTAAACTGCAGAGAAGCATAAGGAATGATCCGTGCCATTGTTGCACTGTTTCCTCGGAAGAGACCAAGGAATCCATTTTCTAAATATGTTTGTCTTAAGACACCAACAGCTCCCTGGCATTAAGGCAAACAGTACACAATAAATTCTTTGCAAATTAGAGCAATGTAGCTAATTTATATAATTACACACTTGATCTAACTACTGGAAGTTTAAAGTGCATGGCAAAAGAACAGTTGCTTCATACAGGTATATTTTTTTTTCAGTGGTGGCTAAACATGTGGGCAACAGATGGCTACATAAGACTAGACAGTGTGGTAAATGATAATTGATACAAGGTGACACCAATCAGATCCCAAGCTTGCCAAACAAAACGCCACTAAGTTGCCATTAGTATGCTGGTCATAAAAATAGAACTGATTTGAAAATTGTTCTATAAAAATTAACTTTTAACACAATTATACTATACAAAGGAAATGCTGGTCATAAAACAGGGCTTGAAATTGCAACTCACTGGTCGCCAATGCGACCAAAACTTGAGCACTGGCGACTAAATTTTCAGAACTGGTCGCCAGCTGGCGACTCGC